CCCCCACCTCCCAAAAATCCTTTTGACCACAAATGAAGCCCATTATTTTTAATATCATTATGGAAAACTTGATGTCCTATTTATAATCTTCTTTCCCATATTTGAGATCCATCAGCATGTCCTACGTTCATTCTTTACTCCTAACTTTTTTGCAACCTTTCTATCATTCTGATTTGGAGAAGAGCGGGTACTTAAAGTTAACAAAAGTCCATGAAAAAGATAATACCCTAAACTAGATGTTGTTTCTCGCTGTTCTCGTTAGTGGTGAGTAATCCAGAATAACTGGGTTTTTTTCAGCTTGCGTTTGGCAAATGGAGAATGGAGTTTAGCCTTTTAAAAACAACTTTGTGTTACAGATTCCCATGCATCATATGATCTATGATAGTCCCCAAATACTTTTCTGCGACAGTGCTGCATGGGTTATTCTCATTGTTAGTGCATTGGATTTCTCCATTTGGAGAGCACTACACTGAAACTTTTATTGGACTTGGTTTTTTCATTTGGTTTGGGGTTTGTTTTTTTGGGTTTTTTTGTTTGTTTGTTTGTTTGGGTTTTTTTAATTGTTACTTTTAGTGATCAAAATGATTTTGCATTTTAAGGTTTTTCTACAAAGAATGAAAATGAATGGATGCCTTATTCCTGCTGACAGGAGGCAGTTCATCAGTGCAGCTTTGGAGCCTCAGGCTGGCGTAGCTTCAGATTGTTCTGTGCCTAAGGTTTTGGCCTCAGCTGAGGTGGTAGTTTGCCTTTATATCGCCTCTCTGGTTAGAAATGCTTAGAGCTTTCTTAGAAATGTGACTAAGCAGTAATTAGCTATCATGAACATCTTCAGTATTGCTCAGTCTGTGTAAGCAAAGCAGGAAGGAAAGACACGTTATCCACTATGTTCAGGCATAACATTTGTTTAGGGCTCTTTCATAAGACGGCAACTGCGCAGTTTGGAATTAGAAGGTCTTTGGTCTTTGTTTCTTGGTAAGTGTATCTACTGAGCCCTCTGAATTCCTGATCCCTATGAAGCTTTTTGATCATCAGATTTCTTGTTGTGTCTGAGTATCCTAAATAGGTGGGTTTGGGAAGACACAGGCTTCATGGTGGCATCCTTCCAAATCATCACTGTTGATTTTAGTTTACTAGAAATAGAAGTGTATTTCTGCAATGTATTATGCTGTCTTTCTCTGACCCTGCTTAGGAAATACTCTTATGTTCCAGCCTACTTGGAAATGAGCTTCTCGCATCCCTGTTGCATCCCTCTTACGTTTCCTTGCATAGTTCCTCCTAGTCTGAACTGAAATAAAGTCATTAGTCTTCCTTGCTTTCCACTCCTTTTAAATGTACAGTGTCTCAGCAGTCTTGAGGTGCTTCACCCTGTGTATTGCCACTTTCCTAGAGTGTACTATTTCACATTCCGCAGAAGGTTTAAAGGTCAGGCAATAAGAATATTATTGAGGTCTAGCTCTTCATAATACCAGCTCTCCAGACTATCAGCAAAATCAGAAAGAAACGTAGGGTTTGTTTGGGTTTTTTTAACTGGAGGTGGGGATTTTTTTAATTTCCTAGCTTACTCAAGAAAAACCAATGAGCATTACTAAAAGCTGAGATCAGTTTAAAAGTCATGGAGAAATGGTCATGAGAAAATAAAATTCACGTAGAGCATTCCGCTGAGACGGAGCTGTAGCATAACACAGAAAAGTATTTAAAAAAAAATAAGTCATAACTAGTCTTAAACATATGTTGGTGAAATCATGGAGTTTCAGAGGTTAAAAATTACAAGGCAATTACACTGCTGAGTTAGTGATACTGTATAGCATGCATACTTTGGAAAGTAATTCAGCTAGTGTTAACAATGACACTCCAATTCTTCAAACAAATTATAACAGGAATTCCTGATTTGTATCATTAACAGAGCAGCGTTGCAGAAAAAGCTTTACCTTTTTAGGGCAATTTTTAGGTATGAATGTATTTTATTTCCAAATAAATTACTTCGCCTTTATAATAAGGGGGAAACAGTGTGCAAGGAAAATGAGGCGACCTTAAAGTGGATGAGTGGGTTGGAGGCTGGTACTGTCATCTTGCAGAGGCCGTGCAGGAACCCCTGGCTCTAATTAAAGAATACTACCACTGAATTCAGTGTATCTACTATTACACACAGCAGACTGAATCCCTCCCAGCAGTTGTTTTGGAGCAACCCCATCGGCTTGTTCCGTCAGGGTAGTGGAATGCAGAGTTCACCCAAAGAAATACAAATAATTCTGTGCTACGTTGGGTTAGTTTTGGTTAACTAATAAACAAGGCTTGACACTTTCAGAGTTTTGTCACCCTGTTTATGCAATAAATAGTCTTTAATTGTGTCATCTGAATAAAGTATAAGCAGGCACGAACATTAGATATAAAATGGCATTAAAGCATTTTTCTCTCTTTTTTGTTAATCTATGAGGTAAGCCACAATGTTGATTATTAACAGCCTCCTCTACACTGCAGAGTGGCTTCAGCAACTCTGCAAATTGGCTAGATTTGAAGCTGTTAATTATGCAGTATAGTGTGCTCCATAAAGACAAAAATGAGCATGACTTGGCTCATTTCTCCTGAGAATAAATTGTAAAAATTGGACCTCTCTTTGGTTTGAATTCTGTCTTCACAGAGAACACAGACATTCCATACAACAGGCTTGGCAAGGACAAATCATGTACTCCATTAAAAAATCAGAATATGTTCATAGTAAAATCACATACTGGCAGAAAGCCAGGGACTCTGCAGAGGTCCAAGGCTCATAAACAGGGGGTGCTTTTTATCATTTTGTCAAAGAAATTGATAAACATCTTAAATCCAAATATCTTGGAAATCATAAGGAAGGGGTTTTTTCCTTCCCTGCATTCACCAGCCACACTTGTATCTGTCTAGAACTACCTGATGGCATTTTGAGGTTACCATCTACCTACTGTAGAAGGCAAAGGCACATTCTCCAACACACACTGCTCCTCTAACATCAAGGCACATGATAAGTGAGGGTGAGGGGATGGTTTTCTTTTGGCTTAGGCTCTCTGTTTAGCTTTTTATGTAAATGTAGATGTTGCATAACAAAATTTGACATGGTACTTTTACCTTAGGCGTCCAACTATACATCAGGGAATTTATAGAATGCTACTACTACTGAAGCAAATCTGTACATATTTGTATCATTTTCTCTTAAAGTGTGAAAGCAGATACACAAGCCATAGAAGAAAAAACAGCTCCATAAATAGCAATGATTTTTTAAATCTTCTAGAAATATATTCTCATAAGATATTATGTCAAATATATGAATGCATCTTTATAGCTGTTGCAAGATTGTAGCAGTGTAACTGATACTAGTTGAAATATCCTGAAAGGAGTATTAAATGTTCAGTATGTCACAGTGATGAAAAGTAAAATGTCATTTTTGCAGTTTGTTCTAAAAGTTTAAGTGAGCTAAAAAAGAATAGTACCCTTGGGACTTCAACTGTTTTTTTTTAAACTGACAGTGAAAGTGCCCTAATCCATAGAACGAAGAGGACTTTTTAGTTTAAACATAGTAAAATAATAAGTGTTAAATTCCTATCACTGTTTGGTGTCATTTAAATTTCTGCAATAAATGCACAAATTTATCTGGTGGGTTTTTCTGGGGGAGTTTTGACAAACAAGAAAGGGAATACTTGAAGAAAAACCTTAACAGTATGATTCAGGCTAATGTGTAGCATTAAATTTGTTATCAACAAGATGTATTAAAATGGAAACACTGAACCAGCAAAGCCATCTTTTGAGTGGGATTATTAAATTCATGGTTAGTCGCTGCTAATTTGTTAGTAGCCTTCAGTTGTTTGACAAAGCTCATACAAACTCATTTTGCAAAACCGATTATTAGATGAAATGCCCTCTGTCATTGCCACTGGAGGAATTGCTCTGAATCAGGGCTGTGTCACAAATGGAGTTAGCTGAATGATCTCAGTTCAATGCCATTTACCTAACAGAATTATGAAGATGATGCTGATGTAATGAATAGATTCTGCTCAGACAAATGTAGTCCCCTGGAGATAATGGAAATTCAGTGCAGGGCTGTTTGTTTTCTTTGGTTTATATGAAGAGCTTGGACTCTAATGAAGTCAGTCCTTGCACTTCTATCAGAATTATAGAATCCTGTTACTTTATGATTAATTATTGTTATTTGACAAAGTTCAGTTGAGTGAAAGAGATGCAATTATAGAACTGCTTAAGCTTGTTGGTTCTTGAAGACATTTTCTTTTAAATTATGCTTCTTTAGCAGGTGTATTTTGTTCACTGTGATAAAATATGTGTTAGCTAGAATAGCATAGTAGTTAGAATTAATACAGAACTGAATTCTGTCATGTATCCTACAAGAATACTCTGTTTTGTAGTCAGTATTTCATGAGCAAACACATTAACCAGCTATAGTCTATTCTGGAGGATCCTTCCCATCATTTTTTAAATTTTGATTAATAATTTTGGTAATTTTCATGCTTGTGAGAAAATTTTCAGAACAAAAGTTGTTTACATTTTTCCAAGTCAAAGAAAATGATAATACTGAGGACATGATTTTTATCAGATACTTAAAACAAGAATTTTTTATTAAAAAGGAGTCTCAGAGTTAAAAAAATAATGTAATATTAATATTAAGATTTTCAAAAATAAAACTGTTCCCTGTTTTTATGTTCTGTTTCATCACCATGTTCTTGAAATACAGCAAGAATCAAGAATGTTTTTCTGTCGTGAGTCTTTATGGGTGTTCAATAGCACTATGAAGTATAGAAAACTGTAGCTATCAGAGTGTTAGACATTTTTCAGAGGCATTTATTTAAAAAGAATTTCTGTTGGAATTTAAGAAATAATTTTGCCTATGCATCCAGCAATGCATATATAGCACTTCATGTAGAACAGAAAAAAAGGTAAAATATTTTTCCTGTTAAAAAGCATCATGAATTAGTATTTGTCTTGTGTATATATAACAAAATAACTATTCATTCTTTTAGGGTGAAAAAGGAGATAAAGGAGAACCAGGACCAGAAGGCATGCATGGAACAGAGGTAAATCGTATGATAATGAAACAGTCAAGTTACAAACTTTTGGGTGGACAGTTAAGCAATGTAATTCAGAATTTATGTAAGGAGAAGGATTTAGAAATTATGTACCTGGAGATTTAACATCCACAAGATAATAGGGAAAGAAGAAGAGATACATTCATGTGAGATAGCAGTTCTTAGGGCTTAATGTTGGACAGGAGAGCTGTGGGCAAGGATCTGGTATATTCCATTATATTTCTGCTGAGGGCTCAGGAAATAAATTGAAACAAGTGTGGGGATTAAAGCAATATAATATAAATGAGAATCATTACTGGTTAGATAATGTGTTGGAAAAGAGGGTACTTTGGGAGGCAGGGTAAAGCTAGACCTGTAACTTTGCTTTCTGTAAAGGAAAATAGACAAGCTGTTAGCTGTTCATGGGTGAGAGCCTTGAGTCACTCACTGTGGCTTGTGTCTTGTGTGCTAGAGTCAAAATTTCACTTTTAATTTTCACTGCCACATTTTGCTACCTACTTAGTTAACTGGACTGGTCCATATTTAAGTTAAAGCTTGAGTCTGTGTCTAAAAACCCTGGATAATCCTGATCACTGAGTTCACACTCAAGCTTGAACATGAGCTTACATGAGCTTAGATATGCCCACTAGGAAACCTTACTTTTGCCTATTTTATTTTTAATTTTTCATTTATTTTTGTATATATGAAACCAAGATGAGAGGCCAGAAAATCAGAGGTTTTTTTCAATACAATACTAAAATGGTCAATTAGCATGATTTCAAAAGAAGATTTTTTTAAAAACATAACAATAAAGTCAAGCAAGCTGGGTTTTTTAATCCCCTCTTCCCCTCCAGTCTCCCTCTTGACTTTCCTGGAGGTCACCCTGGCTTTAAGTTTCAATGAAGGATACTGTTTGCTGTCCAGTTGCAAACCATTGCAATTGAAGGCAGAGAGCATCTCACAGGTGGGGAATGACTCACATTAGGATTAGAATCCAGACACAGGATTTGGAAAAATTATTCAGCAGTACCTTTTAAAGCAACTTTAGCAAAAGGGTGAAAGGGACAGCATCTGACACAAAAATACTACAACAATTTAGCCAGGTCTACTGAAAATGCCGTAAAACAGACTATGTAATTATGAAATTTTACATCACCTGGCTTTTAATTCACCCTGTAGCCATAAAAATATTTTTCCTATTTTTGCTTTATTATAATGTAGTACTAGATAAATTGGTCTATTTTTAAGTAATAGTGTATGTCTTTCATATGAAAATTTATACTATGTACTAAGCTGAAACTACATTTAGATATTCAAAGTGATGTTCTCTTGTAGCCTGCCTGTCTGTAAAGGTGAACCATATACTTCTGTCAAGCATACATATATGCTGACAGCATGGAAAAAACACATCTGTGTTTCTTTCCATAGCCCTGGTGACATTTCTGTGTTGGTCTTACATGATCTCCTTTACTACATGGGATCTTATTCCATCAACCTTTTAGAAAGAGTAAGGTATACTAAGTATCTGATGAACTCCAGGACATATTTAACATAGTGGCACTGTGAAAGTGAAAAATACTGAACATTTATAATTTTAAATATTTATTGAATTATTGCAATGTGTCAAGAAACAGTACATTATCATTGTGGGAACTGTCATTAAAACAGTTTGGAAGTAAAATTGCACAAGGCAATATAACATTGTATTTGAATCCACACATAATTCCTTTTTAACAACACTTACATAAAATGTTTTGGATTCAGTTATCACTGTGCATGGAGATGCCAGTCATTAAATTTAAAGGACTATGCATCATTCACTCTTTGTTGCTATCAATGTGTCTCTAACTCATTCTGTATATAGAAATGTAACATCTGATATTTCTTAAATAATCAAGTTAATCTACTTACATTGGTTTAATCTTCAGTGATGTATAAAGAAAACCTGAAAACACTTAAAAGTCTACTGGCAGCTGTTGTCTCTTCCTGGGGAGTGAGGATTTCCATCCTCACGAGTGAAGAACTTTAAGATGATGACAGAACATTTTATCTTGCACAAATGGTAGAAACATATTTGAATGTATTTTTACCAAAATCAGGAAAGTAGGTGTCACAGACAGTTTTGCTTGCTGTTGCTACTCATGTTTTCCTAGCTGTACAGAAAGTTCTTTCTAGAATGAAGTAGCATGGCAGAGGGAAGCCAGACCTGATTTGGAGACTAGGCTTTTTGTAATGATGATTCTATACCTAGAAAGTTTTAATTCTCTCATCCCTCACTGGTCGTGCTAACTGGGTCAATCTCACTGAGAGTCAGGTTTTGAGGCAGGAACTGTGAATATATTTAACTGTTCTGCACATCTCCCAGTTCATCACGCCAGGAATCTGAGCCAAAATTTAGAGTACCGTGTCCCAGTCTGGGACATCATTCAAAATCCATCTGACAACATGAGTGCTTACTGTAAATACTACTCATGTGGTTGCCATTGTTTTTAGTTTCTTAAGGAGTAGTCATAAATAACATATTACTAATATATTCCTCCTGTGCTACATGTTCACATTATACCTGTAAGCAGGTATTTGCCTGTATAGGATGAGCAGCCAGTTTAAGTAGTATGTCTCATTTATCCCTTGAGACTATTTTAGCCACTTAACATTACACTCAGGTGACACATTGCTGCCACTAAAATCCTGTAATTTTTTTATATGTTGCTTCCCTCCACCACTCTTTCAGATATCTTTTCATACATTTGGATGTGAGACTTGCCTGCTTTTGTAATTGAGGAGTTATGAATTCTTTGGTCTAGCTGACAAGATGGTGATAAGTCAAAGGTTGGACTCGATGGTCTTGGAGTTCTTTTCCAACCCTAATGATTCTGTGATTCTGTAATAATGCTGTCATTTGTATCACTGTAGCAAGTGGAGCCTCATAGAGACGCTGTCTGAAAGAAACTGATAAATACATTCATATCCCATGTGGAATAAGGACAAATTTGCAATATAAATATCCATGAAACTATATATGGAGTAAGATCTATGTTATATTCATATTCTTACCAGTTGAACTGAAATGAAAAGAAAATCTTTATTGCTGAAACTTTTGGATGCTTTTTTGAGTCGTAATTTTCTTCATCAGTGGTGCTGGTAGGAATGAATAACATGGGATACTGCCAATTACTATTTGCCGACATAAATTCAGTCCTTCAGCAAAAGTAAAAGAAAACATCAAGTTTTATCATGCATGTGTCATGCATAGATAGTGGAAGATTAGTGTCTTTCTTGTAAATTGGAAAAAAAAATAGCCACAACCAAAAAAACCAAAGCTGAAATTAAAATCTAGTATATACATTAAACCAAGTGTTTAACTAGTTATTTTTATTTCTTCTGATGGAGAAGGTAATACCATAAGTGACTTTTCTAAAATTTTCCTACATAAAATGTTCTTATTCCTTATGAACCTGATGTCAAAGGATGGATCTCTAAAGTTCAGTAAGCAATGAAGACAATCCCAGGTTTTCAATCAAAGATGGAAAACATATCAGACCTTTTTATTTTTATACATGCAGGAAAAGGTAAACAGAAGTATGAACATTTTTAAAGGGATACAGTGTCTTGATATGATAGTAACAGTTATTTACCTTCACACCCTCAAGGCCTGTCTGTCTAATCTTGAACTCTTTTAGCATTAGCATTGCAAGGAAACACATGGATAGGAAGGGAAGAATCCTATTGCTTGAAAGGATGAAGTTGGTGATGATATTTGTTCTTTCTAGAGTCTGAGAATTCTGTTAGGAACTAAAGTATAAGGAGATAGTAGACATTGCTCAGGGGACAGTAAATTCTAGTAGTGTACCAATTTGAAGTTTTTGAATTACATTAATGAGAAAAGAGCAATGACAATGTTTTAAAGTACATGAAAGATAAACTGAAAAAGTTTTGAGCTTTGAAAATACTTCGCTAAATTAGAAAAGTTATTGCAACTTATACAACTTGGTGTTGTACAGCTGACTCTGAAGCTGTGGTTAGTGTAGAATTCTATATTATCTTTAGATTTTAAGGCTGCCCTGCGAAGAAAATGTAGTTCTGTTCTTAGTCATTAGAGTATTTCCAAGTTCCACTACTCAGTAAACTGATTTGATCTATAACAATGTATAACCATAATTGTTTAGGGTGTTGGATTGTGTACTGTATTTCCAGTACATTAGATAATATGTATTGTTCTAGGAGATTTTAACCTGATGTGAAATTGAACCACATTACTCTTAATGCAGGCCAGTGAATTGTAAACAACAAATTATGTTTTCCCCAACAGATATCTTTTAGAGTGAAAAATCAGTTCTCCTAAAAATATTATGGCAATCTTACAGCATTGTCACATATGTGCAGCATGGCATATGCTGTACAAATAGACGGAGTTCCAGTGGGCAACACTTGGCTCATGTGGAACTGCTGAAGTCCTCTGGTTGAGGTCCAGCTGATTTTTGCTTTTTTTTCACTGAGAAGAATGCCTGATGTCAGCTGATGGTACATTTTACCTGTTTTATCTATTTTTCCTTCATTCCATGAGAAGTAATACCATTGTCATGGCCTCCAAAAAAACTGCCTCTAGTTTAATCTTTCCCCCACTGGACCCAATATTTCTGACTTCATATCCTTATTGACATTTGCAATATAATTGTGTTACAGTTACCTGTCTTATTTTATTTATATATAGAACATTTTTCACTTCTGCTATTTCCAGTGTTGTTATCTTGTTAGCTTTGAATCGGCCTTATACATATATATTCTAATGTTCACTTCGCATTTTGGCATCCATAGAGGAACCATAATGTAACTTTATTGTGACCGATAAAACGACCAAGCTGTAGTCCTTACAGAGGAGAAAACATAGCAGCTGAAGACTGTTCATCAACTCAAAAATGCATATTATTATATTGGTCTCAAAAAGGTAGAATTAGATTGGTATAGAATTCAGTAGCTCGTTTACTCTCTGTTAATGAGAGCTGCTGGAATTTTTAGGCAGTTCTTGAATTCCTGGCAAATCTGATAACAGACTCAGACTGACAGAAACTTGTTAGTTTTCAAAACTGACCTTGTTCTTGTAAAATATTGCAGAAAACAAGCTTTTCTAATTTAAGCTTTAATCTAAAATCATAATTATATCTGTTTAGATAACCACATTCATTTTACTGAAGCATTCTGTTCTGGTGTCTGCCAAAGACAGGATACCATACTGTACTGCGCTAGAAGGGGCTACACATTTGACTTAGCACAGGAATTCTTATGACATTTTGGAGAGTGAGCAGCAGCTAAACCTCTCAGCACCTTCAAAAGGGTCACTCTAAGGAAGAATAGGCATAGTGCAGTCCCAGATGTGTTTTTTTCAAGCATTCAGTATGTCTGGAATTTATTAAGATTATAATATTTTTAAATGTATATGTAATGTGTAGGAGAACCAGAAATACTTCTAATGGGATAGCATTCTAAGAAAATTTTTTTTTCTGATACTACTTTTCTTTCTTGGGGTTTTAAACTGCAAATAAAAGCTAATTCAAGTATTTTAGAATAAATACGTTATATATAAATCTTCCTGGGTCCTTAAAAATCCACCTTCAAACACTGCAAGGCTTGTTGTCAAACATGTACTTTCCCCTTGTTCTTTTTATTTGAGGTCAGTTTCTGTGGTCATCATCTCTGCAGTAGCTGTCAGACTACACACCTCACCGAGGTGCTCTGCAGGAACACTACTAAAAGCTTTAAACACAGCAATTAGGAAAAATGAGGTTCATAGTTTGACAGTGCATGGCTCAGGCTCAGTATCTTTCATTTGCAGTTGCCTTTTCTATTCAGTAGAGACTCACAGATATATATCACTGCCTGTGAGTTGCAGATTTTTTTAGTGGTATCTTTTCTCTTCTGTAAACATACAGCCTGAGAACTAATTCTTAAACTCATGCATATTGTTCCACTGCTGATTTGCTAGTATCGATTTTGAATCAAATCCATACAGTTTGCATACCTGAAAAATCCCTAAAATGGCTTTTAGAATATGGAGTGACTGTGTTTTATGCAGTCTTTGAGAAGGAGGTGGAAAGTAAAATGTAGTAAATGGAGACAATATTAAGGCTATGTCATAAATATGCAGATTGTAAAAAGAAAGCAATTTTTTGGCTTGGTTTTTGAATCCATCTGCCTATCACATTTTTTAAGTTCAAACAGCAAAACTACTTCTGATTTAACTATTACGTATTTGGCAAGCTTAATAAAGGACAAATCAAAGCTAAATCAGGGGTATTTACAACAACCACAAATTTAATCCAAAGTGGGTACTTAAATGCTCATATAGTTCTAAATGATGTTCCTTCCAGATGGTGAATTAATGTAATTTTAGCAGGAAGTGAAGTTGCACAAATACGCAGTATTTAGAACACTCACTGATTTAATGTTTCTGTACCCACCAAGGCACAGATGTTAGTTACCATTTTTGTGCCAGTTGTCTCTATCTTTCCAATAATTGCAAACTGAGGAAGAGAGTTTGCAAGGACAAAAAGGGAGCCAAGAACAACTTTAGTTTGTAAACCGTAATTCAGATGTAGATTAATCTTTTCTATCCTTGTCCTATTTAACCTCCAGAATAATAATGATGGTGACCTAGTTGTGCGGTATCTCATTATGATTCTGTCCTGTATTGCCTACATTGTTGCCATTTCATTTCTAAGTGAAATCTTTGAACTTGTACATGGTCTCCTGTCCCTTGCTGCTAAAGCAGTGATCAGAGGGAAGACACAAGCAAAGCTCTTGGCTTACGCAAAAATGAGTTCCTGGTAGGTTTGTCCAGCACAAGAATTAAGTTCAATTGTTGCTGCAGAATGGGTTGAAATTGCTGGGCATATTTCAAAACCTCTTGCTTTTCCATTTTTATTTCTTTTTTACTGCAAGAAGACCACAAAGATTATGTGCTGGATGCTAAAGATTTTTTTTTTTGAGTGCTTCTGGTGAGAACTTGTTAGCAGAAGAGCTGTATAATAGATATTGTAGGGGGTAGATTCAGAATAGGTATAAGTAGGAAATACTTTACAATAAAAATGGTGAAAACTGGAACAGTTTGCTCAGAGAGGTTGTAGATGCCCCATCCCTGGAAATGTTCAAGGTTGGATTGGATGGGGGTCTGAGCAACTTGATCCAGTTGATGATGTCCCTGTTGGTTATAGGGGAGGTTGGACTAGGTGACCTTTAAGTGTCTCTTCCAACCCAAACTGCTCTGCCCCTGCAATAGTGAAGTTGCTGCATGTGTAATGTGTAAGGCTAGGCAAATAGTATTTGCTTCTCCAGCTGAAGGCAGAAGTAAGGAAGGAAGTATGAAAGAATCAATTATTTCTCTAATTGCCTTTTCAAACACTGGTGAAGATGAGAGTGTTGGAAGATATGCAGCAGCTCTGAGCTGTACCTTCCTGTAGCTCACCAGCTCAGCATTGCTACTTGAAACATGGACTTTGCAGTTCTCTGTCCATCTCTGCCTCTTTCCCAATTTTAGAGATGTTTAAATGAATGTACTAGTACTGTCTAGTATTATATTTTATCTTTGTTGACCATGCAAGACACAGACCTACTGGGACTTCAAAGGAACTTTGCATTTCTACTTGCCACTTGCCATAATGGGGCACAATAAAGTAGACTGGCTTTATATGTTTAATTATGTGTTGAAGACACATGTGGTCTTCGATAGATTTCTGTCTGTTCACAAAATAATGAAAATGAAGGATTTTGAGATAGTGCTAATAATGGGATAGAATTTTAAGGCTTAACTGTTTAGTATATAGTAATTCAAAGCACTGTAGGATTTAGTCCAACATTTTTCACAGATGACAACAAATAAGTATTTCTTTTCTTTGCCCAGGGACTAAAAGGTGACCCTGGCAGACCTGGTGTGGCTGGTCCGAAAGGAGAAAAGGTACTTTTTAAATCTATTAAGTTGTATGTATATGTGAGTATGCATGACATTCTTCAGTTGTGAACACATTGCCATAACTATGTGTGACAAACACCCACTGCTGCCATTTGTGTAACTTAAGGATTGAAGAATATGAATACAGGCTGACTAAATTCAGAAGACGAGTATTCTTTATCACAACAAATTTTAAAAGGAGTTCTGAACAGGAGAATTACTCTGTGGATGTTCTTGTTTGCTCCCATGAACTAAACCTGAAGGTCTCAAATGTGATTCATACCTTAGCAACCTAATTCTGTGAATGTTTTACACAGTCAGATGTCTTTAAATATGTGAGCTGTCACACTGACTTCAGCAGCCACCTTGTGCATGTAAGCTGCAGCTTGTAACTTAACATATGCAAATGTGTTTTGAAGGATTGCTTTTTTTTTTGTAGCTGTGAGTCATTTATGCAGAGGCTTGGCAATTTTTTTCCTTTTAACCTGTGGTAAACTGTGTATATGTCTGCCATTACTGGAGAAGAATATCCCTTTACTCACACATTTTCATAATGAACATGTTTGATGATTATACTGAAATTACTTCTGCAGTGGTGCATATTCTCTAAAATGACTAGAGGTCAAATATATTTAACTAAAGAGATTGCTGATTTATTTACTCTCCTGTTTTAACTAGGGAGATGCAGGACCTCCAGGACCAGCTGCCTTGAGTGTGAGTACATTTAAAACAAAAACAAACAAAAGAAAATCCCTAAAAAATGCTGCACATTTTTCACTTATTTGCAGTGTAAATACTTTCCCTGATAAACATAAGAGCCAAGTCCCTCTCTTTAGAGTGCCTCAGCATTTTCTATATGGCTTGTGAAAGGAATTCTGCAAATATAAAAAAAAGCACATTTAAAACATCTTGTTTCCCACCAAATGCTAACAAGAATATTATGTTCTTTATTCTGTGTATAAATAGTATAGGCTTGTTGAAATGAAAGAATTCCCTTGTTATTTTTAGTGAAAAACATTTTTCAGTAAAGCTTGCAAAAATTACTAATGCTTTTAAGATACAGTATCAGGCTGTATTCTGGCTAGATAGTGCTATATAGATGGTGGAAGATGTTCTTAATTTTCTTGCAATGATCCTTGCCCCAAGCATGTATAAAGCCTGAAGAAAAGTGTCCCCAAAATTCTCCAGGACAAGTTTTACTTTGTAAAAGTAATAAATTCTGCTTGAATTCTAGTGGTTGTGTTCATGAAATGAAAGGAGAAGCCCTCCTATAAAGGATAGTCTATTTGGATAAAACCAATTCAGAATGGTGCAAAAGAGCACAGGAAAAATGAAAAAAAAAAGAAATAGATAGAAGCTCCCAAATTCCCAGACTGTAGTTTCACAATATCAGTAGCTCTTCCCCCATAACTCAGTGTTATGAACTACTTCTACACTATTCATATTACCCATGTAATCCTAAATAAACTTCATAAGGGCTGTCATTCATAATGTAAATTATTATATATTGTCTTTTCACTCTTTTAATTTCCAAGACCATAGCAGCTTCTCCATTAGATCTTACAAACATGGAAGGATATAACCAGAACTCCATATGATAAAGATAAATTCTATTCTTAAGGCTTCAAAATTAAGTTGCCATGTTTTATGCTACTTGTTTTTTGGATGATGAAATCTAAATATTCTGTATCTTGATTTCCTGGGGATAAGTTAGTACTGTGTCCCAAATCAGTGACTCTTTGCTGTAGTTCATGTCTTGCTAGAGGTAAACAGGTCCATTTATGTCCTTCAGCTCTTGAGTATACAGTCAAAAGATGTGTTGGAAGAGTTAATATTGAAATATTAGTAGTAAACTGCAATAGGATTGTTACTGCAGTGGATGGATTGGATAGGTTTTGTTTTAGATAGATTCTTACAGGCCTTGAAGGGATCATTGAAACAGGAATAAGACATGTCTGAAGATAAGATAGGAAAAAGAACTGAGGATATCTATTTTGTGTGCGCTATAAGAGCATTTTTTATGTAAATTGTGGAAAAATTATGACATCCATTCTGATAGAAGCACTTGGATATGTTCCTCTTCTGAATGGGTTCATTGTGTTAAGCTGCAGTTGTGGACACTTATCTTTCCAAAGAATTGTACTTGGAGGTCAGTAGTACAATATCGAAAATCAAAAGCTGCTTTCAAATTGACTGAACTTACGCTTTCTGTGATGTGATGTGATTCACTTTCATAAAATGGACTATTAAAAAATTGCATTTCTTTGATTATGGAATGCTGTGCAAATGTTTTAGTTCAGTCAATACAGGCACAGCAAGATGTCTCTGTGTTGATACATTCACTGATGGTTGTCTTCACAGTTTTTAAAAGAAAATATTTAAATTTTCGGAAAGCAGAGGGATGTTAGTAACTGACATACTGAAATGTGGTTTTTGTGTAGCTGCTGAGAGAAGAGATAAGGGTTTAGCAGTTTGAAGACAGATTACAACAGTGTGGGAATATGTGGCCCAGCAGGAAGGCTTTCTCTCCCTGCCACTGTAAATAGTCACGCGTTTCTGCTGGCAAGAGCTGAAAGAAGATGAATGACATGAATGATGGTGGCTAGGGGAAAATCTAGTCCTCAGAGTTGTTTTATTTGTGTGACTTCTGTGTGGCCATGACTCCTACAATATATAATCATGAAAGGAAGATGTCATATCTCGCTGTGAATAAGAAGTAGGTCAGATAATGTCAAGATCCATGTGTCACTTAATGAGAACGTATTATGTCAGGACCATTCATGCTGTTATACCCAAAATATGGCATAAGTGTTTCAGTTAAAGCTAAGTTTTAAAATGTTCCATTCATTTAAAACTCAGGCATAGTGTCATAAATTCATCCTCTGCTTATAGTCCTATTTATGTTTTCCTAATTTGAAAATTATTTATTTTTATGCAAAAGATAAATAAATTATTGTGCTGAGGGGCAAGGAGGGAAGAGGAGTGAAAATTATGACACACTGTTAGAGCTAAGTCCAAAATGTGACTTTTGGGCAGGGAGAAAGGGAATATTAAAAGGGACTTGGTTTTGCTCCAACTGGGCCTGGATCACTGATCTTCTGCCTCAGTTCAATTGCACAGTGAAACAGGCAGAAAATGATGGTGTTGTACAGAACTCTGCTGCCCTATGCAGCTTTTCCATTCCTAGAAATTTCCATAGAAATCATACATCAGTGGAAAAAGCTGAGGAGATCTATAGTATATTCTAGAATATTCTAGTATATTCTAGACCATCAGCAGTGTTGTTCAGGGTCAGAACATTCTCCCCATACACAGACCTGTACCATGGTCCTGTCCTCAGCATGGGGAGTGTGAAGGTGGCAAGAGACTGAGACTGCTTCACTGCAGTCATTTCCAAACATGGTTCATGGTCCTTTGGTCCAGGGAGAGTTGTCTGTAGGTAATTTACAGGGGTATGTAAGAGCAAATAGTAGAAACTCTTGTTTTTTCATTTTTCTGTGCTATTGGTACGTGCAAAAGTCTAAAATATGTCAGTGACTCTGTGTCTAAAAGTGTTCAGGCATCCCTGATGAGTAGGAAATCCCCCACTACTCAGAACCATGAGAAGCATGGAAACATGAGAAAATATAGAAGAGAGTAAAGTTGCCAGTACTTGGAGGAAAAACCTGTATTTTTAAGTGTTCAGCTGACAGATATAGCCGTTATCGTATGGAATGAGGGATACTTTGAGGTAGTATGTATGGCAGAATTCATAAATACCCAACAGCTGTAACAACCTATTAGGTACATGAGGATATGCCAAACTGCAAAACAGAGGAAACAATACCACTGGTTTTTAAGTTGCAAAAATTATTTTATGAGTTTGAAATGGAAATTTCATAGCTCATAAAGTGCATTGATCTAAAAAAATAGTAGAGCTCTGGATCATTCTGTTTGATGTCCTTAACAGAAATTTCATACTGAAATTCTAACACATGCACACTTAACAAAATTTCTTACTTGCAGCAATAGTAGAGAATTCAGAAAGAGATGGGATTAGAGTTGAATATGTTTCTGTACATTTCTTTAAGTCACATATGGAAGTCTTGTTAATATGATTTCATCAATCATGCATAAAGAATTAGAGAAAAAAACCAGCATTGTAGCACAAAATATTCTAAGCTGTAAAAAGAAATATATGAAAAAGTTTATAGGCTTTATGTAAAATCCTAATGAAATTAGTAATTTCAATAGTTTTAAGTATATTTGTTTGATTGAGGCATTTTTCACACAAATGCATTTTATTGTAAATGTGACATATATATGTGCATATTTGAGCCCTTTTAGTAAAGATGTAAAGTTTTCCTATGTTTCTATGGAGTCAATTAACACTACACAAGCCCAGATATACATATTTATTTTGTCTCCTCATCTATGATGGTTGTTTCATGGGAGTAGTCCAAAGTCATGATTGGTTCTTTATGCAGCCTTTAATTTCTCTGCTATGTTCTGAATTTCTCTGTAAGTACTAGGTGTGTCTTTTCTTTAGTACTTTTCAGGTGACTTATGAATAAATGCTGCAAATATATTTTGAATTTTTCTCCTTTATTATGTCCACTTTATGCAGCAATCTGTGGGGTTTTTTTTAAAGTTTAAGTTCCCTGATCAATTGTACTGTAGCTAAGGAACCTTCAGAGAAGAAACGGGAGGGATTTTACTGCTCTGTTGTGTGGCTTTGTCAAAATATGGGATTTAGTGGCAGAAGCTGGGGACTGTTTTCTGCAGGGTCACAGCTGGCTCTGCAGCTTGCCCTCTCTGGTATCCCCAGCTTAAGCCTGTGCGTGCCGTGTCAGAAGAGTGACAGGTGAGGGAAGGTAGCGTAGCCATCTCTTGTAAAATATATGATAACTATTCCTCTTGACACTCGATACGCTGCTTTTGGTTCCTGAGGAAAACGAGCGTCCATCCATACGTTCCTGCGGACCTATCCCTTTCAGGAGTTATAAAATAGTCACTCAGATGGCACCAAGTGTTTACTCAGAAGCTGAGGCTTAAGTCGGTCACAGACAGAAGTCCCCAAGACTTGCTTACTAAACAGATAGTTGGAATGTTGGCTCCTAAGTCTGGTTAAATGGAGCCAAAGGAAGCTGACACACTAGTGTGCCGTGTAGGCGGCTGTGGGAGGAAGTTGCAGATTCAGGTCCGGGCAAGCTTCACTTGTAACTTTTGGCTCTCCCCTTCGTAAAGAAATATCAGCAACAGATTACACAGCTTTTTCCTCAGTTATTCATGTGAAGCTAAAGAAGGAGACACACACCCTCCATTAGTAAGCAACTCAACTAATATTGCCCTCACTTTCTTTTCATGGAATGACATAAAGGAAAGCAATTCTACTTAAGAAAGAAAGTATAGAGAGAAAATTACATTTTCATTCTAAATCTCTTCTTTTCTTGCACATACTCAAAGAAAAATCTGAATTTTTTCTATTCGAGCTTTTTTAATTGTGGTATATTAATTTCATGACAATACTAAAGTGTTCAGTTGTTTTGCATAAAATATAGTGATCTTTAGCTCTCACAAATATGCTCTTTTTCAAAAGACACTTTTTAAGTATGGGAGTAGATCCTATTAAGATTACCTCTTTATTAATATAGAAAATGTTTTAGCAGTTACAGTCCAGTTTTTATCTTCTTTGTGCAGTAATACTGATACTGAAGGCACAAGTGAAGATTGAT